TATCTTTATATTTTCGAATTGAATTTTTTATGTAAATTTACGTTCTAAAAATTGTTCTTATTGAATTTATTATTATTATGATATTTAATATAATTGAATACAAAGTTTTGAAACAATTTCTCAATTTTAATAATTCTTTTAATGAGTTTTTGCTGCAATTGAATTTTACCATGTAATAATTATTTCATTAAATACATTTATATATAACAAAACATTCACTTATTATCTATTGATTTACAAATTAAATAGAATTTTTCAAATAGTGTGGAGCACTTACAGAAATTCGAAATTTCAAATTATACTCTAATTCGTAATGTGTTCATTTTTATCTTAGTAAAAAATTCTATAATACTTCAAGATTATTAATTTTTTTTAGTAGATGACAAGTTTCATTTCTTATTTTCTTTTTATTTTTAAGGCATTCTTTATTTTGTCTTTTGTGGTAACAGTCAAACAATAGTGTATTTTTTGTTTACATAAGTCATTAAATGCATTAATTAAAACGATACTCATTAAACCAATCTTAAATATTAAATTTGTGATATCTAGTTCATTATTTCGTAAATGACTTTTTACTTATTTTATTTATTACTGTGTACTTCAGAATGTTTTATACTTTATTTTTTATTTATTATTAGTTTCAAAAATATATTTTATTTTCTTTCATTTCTTTTTAAACATCATTAATAAATCTTTTTTTTTTATTTTTTTATATAATTATATAATTTACATAATTATTTTTTTACCATTCTATTCTATAAGAATAGACGCTTATTATATAGGTAGTGTAATGTATTATTTAGATATTTTATGGATAATAATTATACTAAAATAAACTCATTATATACACTTATGTTTTCTGAATATTATTTTTTGGAATATTTAATAAACTACTATTAATATTAATATACTTTTTGAATGATTTCTCCAAGTCAAACAAACTTGCATTCATTTATGTTCTTTAATATTTAATTGTTATAAAATGTTACTGTTTACATTTATAGTTATTTAATTACACTTATCATACTTTTTTAATGTATGATTTTTTTTCTGAAATTTTCATTATTAACTTTATAATATGTTTCTTATATTTCAGTTGAATCTTAGATTTGCCCTCGTTTTAGCTGATCAAAACTAGACTAACCGGTATTTTTTTATTAAATTTTCTTTTGAATTATCATAATTTTTTTTTTTTTTTGTATTAATTAATTCTAAAATATTAAATTATTTAGTTATGTATTAATGCTTTGTATGAAAACCATTTTATTTTAAATTGTGTTGAAATTTATAAAACTTAACCACAACGATTTTTTATTTATCGTTTTAAATTTTATTTTCTTCAATTTGTAATCTATATTTTAGTTTTCAAAATATTTTACTAAAAGTTTAATAAATGTAAATAAAGAAAACTGTTTTCTTATTATATGATTCATATATTATTAATACATGGGTAGTCAACAAGATATTAGATTTTCATCATTATATATTTTATCTTTATTTTATGATTGATATTATCTATTAAGTATTTCTTCATTTTAAAGATAAAATAAAAATTAACGTTTCTTCTTAACATAATATACACAGTGAAATGTGAATATACAAAATAAATAATAATTTAATATAACTGCAGACAGATATGTCTTGCCCCAGTTAAGCTAAAGGAACAAAATCTAATTTAATATAATATACATATAATTAATATATTATATGAGAAAATTTAATTTCAATTAACTATAGAAAGTTCAACTTTAAAAAATATTGCCGTGATATTTTAAATTATTATTTTCTTAAAAAATGTGTATAATAAATTTGCATATACTAGTAATTTAATGTATTGTCTTACGCATATACATTAATTTCTTGAATTTTTTTATTTTATATGAAAATAATATTTGTAGATTATATATGTATGTATATATATATATATATATATATATATATATATATGTATGTATATATATATATATAATTAAGATATAATTATGCACTTTTTATCAAGTTTAGAAAAGTATTTTTACTGTTGTCATTGTTTTATCTTTTTTATAATGTATTTATTATTTTACTGAAAGTAATTAAATTATTCTTATAATGCAAAAAACGTAATCATTTCTCTTTACAAAACTAACCGCACATTTAGTTGTTGTGAATATTAATATACAGTTATAAAACCAATATTATATCTCAAAATAATAGTATCATTTTAAAAACTTAGAAGTATTAGAACTTTAATTTATTATTAATTATATGCTGCATAGGAATTTGAAATATTTATATCATAAAAAGTTACAATTCAAAGAATTCATATGAATAGTATTAAAAGTTTTTTTTCTGTTTGTAATTATATTGTTAATTGTTTACACTGCTCTCAAGAAGATTTAACAAACTATTTTAAACAACGAAATGTTACTAAAATTATTTTTCTACATATAAGTAGTAGGAGTTTATGATTGACTTCATTTGGTAATAATAATTAATTAAAAGTATATTCTTTTTAATCAAATTGAAACTATGTTTATATTAACTGTAACATTTTTAAAATACATCGTGTAGCTTATTTTAGATATTATAAATCGCAGGGCCGGATTTGAAATGATATCAATTTTATGTTGTTTTTAATGTAGTAGTGGTGGATATATATTATATAATATATTTATTATATCGAGAAAAAGTTCATTATTTATTAAGGATGAGTTGTAAATATGAAGCTAGTATATATTTTATTGAATTGATAATTTGAGAAAGGATTAGTTATATTATTATTTATTGAAGAGTTAACCATTTTTAATAAATAGATATCGTTATGAAGCAGTTACGGTATTTATTTATTCTTCATTTTTGTTTTTCAAAATTTAGAATTATTAGTAAATTTTTAAGAAATACATTAATATCTTAATACATTAATACAGTAAATATTGAATAATACATCAAATTTTATTTTATATAAATTTAAATTTAATTGAAGTCTTATTTTAGAATTTTTTAAATAAGCGATAATACATATATTGTTTAATGAAATGAGTAATAAAATAAATATTTATGCCTAATTTTACATTTAATATAATTTACAAAAAAAATTTCACAATTAATCACAATTTGACTCGATATAATAAGATAAAAATTATTTCATCAAGTACAAAAACGAATCAAAATTATGTATGTTTCAGTTTGGGAGCAGTCCTTGAAGTAGCAGGAGATTTAATAATTGATATTCCGAGATTATGGAAATATTTTGCAAACATTTTAGGCAAGTTCTATTCAGTAATCTTATTTTGTAGTCTTCATATTATTTATTACAATTATTATTTATTATTTTATTTTCTAATACAAATTAATTCATTTAAATGATGAATTCTTGAACCATATTATACATGCTGGATTTTAAGCTCAACAGGCCTGAAGTTTGAAATATTATTATACTTTAATTATTCTATTTAATAGATTTAATTGAAAGAATTTTTTTACAGTATATCCTGTTATAAATGATTCGTATTGTCTTACTGATTTATACACAACGATACATCATTTATTGCCAAAATTACGATGTAAAGATCATGCTGCAGAATTGTTTGCTGAATTGTTATTGGAATTAGTAACATTAAAAGAAATTGAATGGGTCAACCAAAAATGGTCACAAAGTGGCATCCATTGGCATGATCTGTTAGATAACCGAACTAAAGTTGATAAATTCATTATTGATCATGTAAGTACTTCTCAACAATAATTTTTAATTAAAAAATGTATATTTTTATATTAAATTTTTAAATATGTTACATCACGTACTCGCTGGTATGTGATACTGATATCTACTAATACAATCGGAATAATTTGCATATACTTAGTGTTTGACAAATTTTTGTATAATCGTTTGTACATGGTAACCTGATTCCAGTTGTGATTTTTTTGGAGTCTGATTTTACAATTTTAAATATATTTATGAAAAACGTGTTATGGTAATTATTTTATCAGTTTATCTATAATTTTATAAATTATTTTTATACGGTTGAATTATCTATTCACAAATATTTATCGAGTTAAAGAATTTCAATATATTCTAAATATTAACTAATTTATTTTTATTATACATTCGATTTAGTTGATATATATGTGTATATTTTTTTCGTTAATATATAATTTAATTTAATTTAATAAAGATTATTTAAATCTCATTTTAATCTCTGATTACACTTTTCATCGGAAATTTACTTTATTTGTTTATATTGAATTATTGCTAAATATTTCAAATAATCAGTCGAATTATAAATTATATTTTACAGTATACAAAGTATGGAATATAATTAAATATACTATATACGACAAAATATAAATGTTAAAGTGTTAAAATATTCATTATAAGGACTGATTTTAATATTTCGTGAAATAAGGTTGGATAATACGAAGTCAATTATTCAGTATTTTTAAGGATTTTAATTCTGATATTAAATTCCCTAATTATTTTACTTATTTTATTTTGGTGAGTAACGAAATAATAGTTTTATAGTACTATTCTGTAATTGACTAAGAACCTAATTATGCGTAATGGCTTGATATGATTAGTAGAATATGAAAGACTAATTGATTAATTTACTTTAAAATTAGAATTATGTATTTAAAAACAAAAATCTTAAAATATCTATATTTAGTTATATTTAAAAATCAAAAGTTTGAATATCATTGATTGTTACATTTAAATCTTTAATAGTGTAGAATCATTATTTTTTATTACGAATGAACAGCAACAGTATGAATGGATGAATTTTGAAAATATTTTATAAAGATGTTAATCCAATATATATCAAATATTCTTACAGATTGTGTAAATCAAATTCCTAATACAAAAATATGAGATACATTGAATAACTGCAAAATTGTATTTGTATATTGAAATAAATCGTTAAGTTGTCTAAAACTAATAAAACTAAAGATGTAATTGATATGATTTATTTAAAAATTAAATACAATTAATTTTATATATTTTTATTCTTTAATAAATCTATAAATTTTTATATCAATTTTCGTAAATAGAAAATAATATTCATTAAAATTATAATGTCTAATAAATGTAAATTTAATTATTTATTAACATAATATAAAAAATGCCATTTGTTTTTTATAGTTTTTCTTTATAATGGATTTGTAATCTATTTTCTAGTATTAAGTTGATTCTATTTTGATTATGTATTATTAATGAATATTTACACATTGTCTAGTTTAGTAAAAGTTTTTTTTATTGAAAAAACATTCTCTTGAATCAGTTACAAAAGGCAATATGAGGAATATAAATAGACATAGTTATTGACACTGAAAAATGGCATAATTGAAATATGATAAAGAAATATAAAAAGTTTATTCTCCATCACTCGTCGCAAACATTAATTATACGCCATTTGTACATGGCCGTTGATAGTATTAAGGTATAGATTTTCGTATTCCTAAAATTAGTATTTGATAGTCATGTCTTATATAATAATAAATAAGTAAAAAGTAAATTTTGCGATGCAACATTACAAAGTGTTTAAATTATTTTTGCATATGTAAAAGTACAATTAAGATATGGACAATTAATTAATATAATGCATCATATAATCTAAATTAGTGTGCATATTATAATACGTATAATAGAGAATTTTAAAAGGATATTAGTTTTTAAATAGTTTAATTTTTAATATTTATAATTAAAAGATTTTCATTTTAAAACTGTTTTTATTTTAATTAGAATGTCTAAAGTACTTTCGTATATTATAATAGCCTATTTCAAATAAAATTTGTAGCGCTTTAAAATTTTTTTTTTTTAATTATAAATAATAAATTACATATAAGTAACAAATAAAGCGAAAATAAATTAACAATAATTAATTTTGATATATAATTTATTTAAAAAATTTTTATAAAAACGAACTGTTTTATTATTATATATTTATTTACTATTTTATCAAGATAGTAATTACAAATATAATTGTGGATTTATAAATGAATATAATTGAATTTTATATTTTAATATTACAATGAGAAATAATTCTCAATACATCTATCTGCCTATGCAGCAATCTGAGTATATTAATAATACGTGATTCTATGATTAATTATTTTTAAAAATTGATCTATATAAAATTGATGGATTAAAATTACCTAAAATACTTTAAATTTCCAATATATTAATTAGTATTATAATTTTGTGCTGAATATATTGATGAATTATATAAAATTAATAAAATAAAAGTAGGATGTAATTCTACAAATAGTGAAGATTTTTATATTTAGATAATCAGATACAATATTTATAGTATCTGATATTAAAATTAATAATTATAATTATTATAAATCAAACGTAAAGTAGGTTGATTTATTTTTCATTTAACATCTAATAATATATTAGTTTAAATTTTTAACATTATTTTGTGTCAATTGTTTCACATATATACAGAAGTTTAGCTTTTTATAGATAGAGTTTATTTGAAGATTAGCATTCATATTTTATTTGGTATATATTAATAAATATAAAAATAAAAAATCTGGTTAGATTATTTAGTAAGTTTGAACAATTCTCTTATTTTGTTTAACGATTTTTTACCCGTAGGTTCTTTTGTAATAGACAAGTCTTACATGTTTTAAATATATGTAGTTGCGGAATCAACAGAGGTTTCTGTATTTCTATTTTTTATTATATAATCAAAACAAATTCTACTAGTTTACACTATTCAAATGAAGGACAGCGCTAAAAAGATACGTTACAATAACTTCGTGGTAATATAATCAGTTTTTTAGGCTCCTAAATTTTTTAATGTTGTGAACTTATTGTACTGTCATTTAAAGAAATTAAATAAATATCAATGTAATTGCATACAATGTACGATTTAATGAATACTTTTAAAAATTATTAATTGTTTAGGTTATTGAATACTATCAATTATACATATAAATTTTTTAATAATTTATAAATCTATATTTTTTGTTTAAGAAATTGGACTTTTTATTGCCAAACAAGACTATCGATGTAAGAAGTTTTGAAGTTCAACATGAAAGTATTTCGGGATTAAACATTGAAAAAATTCATGACAAATTATTGCCACTCCTAAAAAATAGTAATTTTGATGAAATCTGCGGTTGGATTCAGGTAAATAAAAACTTGATTAATTATATTTTATTATGTTTGTTTTATATAGAAGGTGTTCCTTAATTTAAATAAATATTTTGCATGTAATTATAAATTGAATTTGGATCCATCGATATTTCAATTAAAATAATCTAATAAAACGGTACCATATATTGCATATGTATATCATTTTTTTATTACAACTATTAATTATAATAATATTAAATTATATCGAGATAAACTTTTAGACTATGAAAGTTCAATAACAATAAATAAACAATATAATATCAAATACTCCAGTCTACTTACGCATATGTAATTCAGTATATAATAGAGATTCTTAGTTGTTTTAATCTAAAAAAAATTATATTACTATAATAATAGTATATAATCAACATTTATATTTTAAAATTTAATATAAAAAGAAATTAAGCTTATATACGATGTACAACATGTATATTTTATAAGCAATTGAATAAAAAAAGATTACTTTTTGTTAAAATTAAAGATATGATAATCGACTAAATTATGATAAGATTAATAACCGAGTAAATTATTATCTCAATAATAACAGAAGGAAATATAGCAAGGAAAGAGCTTCAAACACAGTTTGAAAGTTAAAGAGAAGAGTTAAATGCAATTAAAGTTTTCGTAATTCAATAAATGTAACAATTTTGATTCTTGTATTTAAAATATAATAATGAAGATAAATAAAGAACATCGTTGTTTATTAGAATCGCTGTAATACAAATTTTATTTAAAATACAAAAGGAATATAAGAAATTATAAAGCAAAAAAACTATTTGAAATAAAATCAATTATTTTAAATAGCATTAGTAAAAATGATCTGTGTATTATTCTTAGATTACTAGAGTTGAGAAAATAAAAAATCTAAATACGATTAAAGCATTCCAACAATGTATTATCTTTTATGATAAATAATGATTAAAAAAAAGAGTACTTTAGAAAATATACACAATTAAAAGGAAATGCCGGAATCACATAAGGGATTTATAATTTATAATATTGTGTAAATTGGATTAGGTTTAATAACACCAAGACATATTTTACGTACATATTGTACATTGACATTTATTTGGGATTGAAGCAATTTCCAAGACCGTTGGCTATCTGCATCGCTAATCTTTCTAGCTCTCAGGTTTCTGTCAACACTTGGGACGAGAATTTTCATGTACTTCTTATGTTTTGGTTTCAAATAGCCTACAATGTTTATGGTCCTAGAGCAATAACGCCGCCTGGAATTTTTCAAACATCTTACGTCTTGTTTTTTCTTAGAATTCTCGAAACTTCTAGAGTTTTATTTCTGCACCTCAAGTAAGATTCCAGTGCAGCAACCACGATTCTTTGTTGCCAGCTAAATAAGCTGCCGCGTCGATATAAAAGGCAACCGTGCGGCGAGTTTCGCTCTCTTGCAGTGAACCCTCGAAGTGAAGAAGCGATGGAATGGTGGTTATCTCTCAGCTGAGCCACCTCGGAATGATCAAGTTTTCGTGCACGCATTCAACAGGCTTATAGGCTCATTGTAAATCAGTCGGTCAAAAGTTATAAGTCATTACATTATTCAGCTAGTGTTTTCGCCCACACACTAGTCACTCGGTTATATCACACAATGAAGCCATCCAAGAGAACAGAAGTCTAATTGTCAAACGGGCCACGTGTCCTACACCGGAGTGTGAGTATAGTACTGTTAGTCCTTACAACACCAGGAGATTCCACGATATCGTCACCTTCAAGGAGAAACCTCATCATTGAGACAAGAGTTTTTACTCTCTTCTATAAGTGAACCATGCTTATTATAAATGTTACGGTTAATAAATTATATGTTAACGAAGCTTGCGCATACTACACCTTTCTATAACCCTTCCACTTGACTCCCACCCAAGCATCTGCTAGATCTGGGCGACAAATTATTAAAGCTATCGAAACACTGGCAGTTCGAGCCAGGAAACAACACCACTTTCGAATAACACATGTGTTCTGTTTTTAAGTAGTATATACCATTTGTCATAATTAGTTTCGGTTATCAATATAAATTTTATTATTTTGTGAATTGATCAATATGTCCTTCGTACTTATATTATGTATTTGGAGCATTATATCCGTGCACATAATGTCAGTGTGCCGTTTGATAACCTAGTAAAATTCTTAAATACAATATTTTTAAATCGACTCTAAGAATATACAGATGATTTTAGGGATTTAATTTTCCTGCAGTTACTGAAATTGGTAATCTGTGGTCATCATTGGTCATCATTTTAGAAAATTATTTTTTTATTACTTTAAATAATTACACGCCTTTTTATATTCAAAATTTTTTTTTTTTTTTTTTTAATTAAAGTATCTAAATTGTTAACGTCATAATTGTAGAAAAATTAATATTCTTAAACGAAGAATTTATATTATTTATATCACATACAATTTCATATTTAGTAATTTATACTTATATTTTATATAATCGGGTTATTCAAATTAGACTTAGATGTTATAGATTTTTATTGAAATAATATATTATATTTGTAGAAATTATATCGTATGTCAGTAGAAAAATTTTAATATATAGAGATAAAATATAATTAATTATAATCATGTAATACTTATAGAGCTTGAAATATGTATTTCAGACAAATGTTGGTGATAAAATTAAGGAACCTAAATTTATAAGAATCTTAATGACTGCCATTTTGGAAACTTCAGTTGGTAAAATCACATTTAATCATATCTATATTATTTATTTTTCTATAAAAATTGAATACTTATTAGATTATTTATTTTACAGAACAGTGTAACGATAAATGGACTTTTAAGAGAGAAAATTTTGACAAATTGCAAAAACTGATTCAGCGTTATGTGGATGCAGAAGATGATTTAGAACTCCAATGCCTTTTTGCTGTTCAAGAATACATAACTAAATTAAGTCATCCAGCAGGTAAATATTTTCGTTATCTAAAATATAAAGATACGTTACATTTATATATATAGTGTAATGTTCAATGAAAATATATGCTATCATAATGTTTTATATAAGATGATTAATCTTTTATTTAGATCATTCTTATTAATCTTTGTATAATATATACCGTTTAAAATTTGGAAAAATTTCTTTCATAAATTTTTATTATTAACGTACGTTTCATATTTTTAAGTTGTTACAATTTTTATTCGAATGTTTTTTAATCTAATAATGTGTTCAATTTGTAACGTAATGTGAATGATTATTTGTAATTAAGTATTTCTAAAGTTTTATATAATATAATGTTTTGTTATATATAATATTTGGAAAATATTTGTTAAATGTTCCTATATCATTTTAGAAATTTATATATTAAGAGTTTATATTCGTATATTCTACTATAAACTCTTGAATGATGAGTGCTTAGTAGATATTTTGGTAGAAAACTAGCGTTTACAAAATCATAAAAAAAAATTTTTAATTAAAAATAAATCAGTTTGTCATACTATTGTTAATGCTATTTTTGGTTGAAGCAATCTAAAATACATTTATTGAAATATTTATATTCCTTTAAATAATTTTTTATATTCAATTAATGAATATGTAATCTGTAAGACAATTAAAAATTATATTAATACTGTAATCAAGATTAGAAATTCATTAGGTATCATCAGCATTTTTTTATTTTATCAATAGATAATCCTAAAATACGGCTATTTAATTTACGATTCAATTTCTATGGTACGTTCTAAAAGAATACATTATACAGTTCTTATAAACTATATTCAGTTCATTTTTATATTCATCATATTTCTTTAAATTATATAATTTTCTATAATTAAGTATAGAATATTATACTTTTGAAGCTTATGAGATGGAAAAGCAAGATAAGTAATGCACATAGAAATTTTTAAATTCTGTGTCAACATAAACTAACGCAATGCGTTAATTTTCTTAGTATTTAGTATTTATATATTTCAAAATTATAACTGTAATTCAATATAAATAAAACGAAGTTATCAGTACTTAATTGAATATAATGCAATTTATAATCTGATTTAAAATTTGAATATAGCAAATCGGAAAAACTTTGTTAGGATTTTGTGGTCTTATGGATTATTTGACTATTTAATAATTATTTAAATAAGAAGTACGTATAAACTATGACGGAGAAATATTCTTTCTTCTGTCTGATTAATCCATGAAAACGATACCAAAATTAAATATATAGGTTTGAGTTGCCGTACTACATACTTTCCAAATTTGGTTATCGATAATTATTAATTTTGTATTAACATAAAGTGTTTAATCTTGAAATTTGTATCAAATATGAATAATATTCAAAACATATACATATATAATAATTTTTGACAAATCAATAAATTTAAAGGATTTTTCACCGTATACTGCTTTACTAGAAGACTATTGAACATATAATCTATTTCTGAAGTAGATTTTTAGCATTTCTGATACACTACTAGAAAATTTAATTCTAGTAGTAATAGAAATGTAAAATAGTTGATTATCTAATTTTTTAATTATTTTTAATATGTTTATATAAAGTTCTTTTTTTTTCAGGACTCATTGTCAAAATTATGACATGTCTTTATGAGAATAACGTACTTTCTAATGAAGCTTTTCTAACTTGGGAAAAAAATGAAGATCCAGCTGAACGAAAAGGTAAATCAGTATCATTAGTATCGCTAAAGTCATTTTTTATTCCACTAAAAGAAGTAGAAGATATATCCAGTGGAGAAGAAGTTTGAAAGCTAACTAAATTTTGCTGATAGCAAGGTATTAGTTATCAATTGCTTTTGGTTATATCGAACCCAGTCTTTTGCTGTACTAAACGTCTTTTAATGACGAAGTTATTCCAAGACTTAAAACATAATATCTTATCTTAAATTGAATGAACGAGACCAAATCACAGTTGGTTTTTCAATATAATACCATTAAGGTTGACAAATAATAAAGCAAGTGTCGTGTGGGAGTACCTGTATTATAGCCCAAAAGTAAGCAAATGGAGTAAATAGCTTACGTATACAAGAGCTGGACAATTGGCACCGCACGAATAAAAAAGTCGTATTTGAGATACGTTATACATACTGGAAATAAAGATTTACTAATAATTATGGTATAAAAATAAATGCAAGATAAATATATATAATTCATTGAAAATGGTTTAAAGTTTAAATAAAGCAAAAAAATTAATAATATAATTATTTCTACAATATCCTTTTTCCCTAAGATATTATATTTAAAGTATTAAGATAAAATTATCTATACAATTAATTGTCATACTGAAAGAAATTTATTGATTTCTTATTGCATTTATAAAATAAATGTAATACATCGATTCACGATATTTTTGTTTCATTTTACTCTAAATTGTGTAAGGCGAATGTGCTCTTAGCTGATACATTCATTCGATTAAATTATATTATTTCCTTTATATTTTAAATAAAAGTTATTATTTTTAACATTTGTAACATATAAAATTTAATATAAATATGTTATATAAGTTAAACTAATGCTAAAAGATAATTCTTGAAACTAAGTAATTATAATTGGATAAAAATAATTTTATTAAAGTATTTTTTATATTAGACATTTGTGGTATGCAAGTAAAACTAAGTTTTTTGTAAAAAAACTAATATCCTGAAGTATCTAATAGGATTAAAAATTTATTAAACCTTATTCTATTCAACCCTTCTATGAAACATTAAATTTAATAGAATTATTTCATTATCTTAACGATAAACTGTACGTTAAAATAAAAATTGCAATGATAAATGAATAATTATAAGTGTATATCATTCGATAGGTATAATTTTGGACACTAGGAATATAGCATGAATTTTTATCTTTTAAAAAGTACAAATTGTATAGTAAAATTCCAATTATGTTATATTTATAAATTTGTGCATGGAAATTATTGGTTATACAAAATTTGATTATTAAGATTAATTTATTAATGATATATTGCATATTTTAAATATTAGTATTGTCTTATTTAGTTCATGTCTAAATTATATATATGCATATATAAGAACATAAGCACATTCACGATATCGAACGACTTATTTTATCAATATAAATATTACTGAATAAATGTTAGATTGTATGTATCAATAGGTAAATTTTAATTTTATTCTAGATCATTGGCAATAAATTACCGATAAGTAATTACAATATATCTGTAGATATAAAATCTAAAATACCCAAAAGGGTATTATATGTATATACTAGGAAATAGTTTATTTGAACTAATTTGTAGATTAATATCTAAATATCAGTTGATATAAATATTATATTCTTTGTTTCAGTCTAAAAATAAAATGATTTAGTTTGCTTTGCAATCGAAAACTAATTATGTATTTTGAATTTTGGTTCTCGCTTTAAGTATCATGCTTTATCAGTAAATGCAATTGGCTTACTTTTTTGCTTAAATTATTAAAATAGCTTAGGAAGCTCAGTAACCTCAACATGTTACAAACAAATATATAAATATTCAGGTTTCAATGTTTTTTCGAATTATAACAAAGAAACTTGTTTATTTAAGAACCATGTTTTTATATTATACTTTTTATTTGGATGAATATTGAAATAATTGAATTTCAAAATTTTACTTTGTAGGAGCATTTTCGTTTTTATTAATTTTTTAAACAAATTGTATATTAATTTGCTATAATAAGTTATTCTAAAATTTTATATTAATATTTTATTCAACAAAGAGTGAAGTACATATACGAATTTTTAGTAAATAAAATCAATTTTTATTTTTGTCTGGATTACTATATTACACAGCTTAAAGCATGCGTACTCATATCTAGAAGCATTGGGTCTACAAATCAATTAGGCGATCCAAATATTGTACAATGTATATGTAGAAGTTATTTATTTGACCTATTCGTATGCAGCACATACCGAATTCACTTAAAATGGAAAGCACAAAAGTTTGTTTTAATTATTTATTAAATTAACTTCGTACTAATTTATTCTACTCTACAAAACTAGTTTCGACGTAGATCAGATATAAATCCGTATCATTTCGTATATACAGATTATATACAATTGTTCAGGTTAATTGTAAAATATATCAATTTAAAATATAAGTATTTTTTTCTATTTAACTTTAAATATAACATTATCTTGAATGCAGGGAAAGTTATTAAAAAATGAAAAATAATCTCAAATAGATTTTATATTTATTAAATAAATAAATTAAATAAATCTATGTATATATTAAAAATAGATAATTATATAAAGAGTAGATATTAATATTACTTATTAATACCAATATTTTTCAATGAAAATACCATTATTAATTACATTTTATAATGCTGTGTAAAAAAATGTTATAATAAGCAATAAAAATAATATATTTAATTATCATGATAAATAATATCCAATACATGTAAGAGTATTTTATTATTATTTTACAAAAACGAAACAAACATTAGAATAAATATGTGAACATTTTAATCTGAATTGCTAGATTTATCACTAATATCATCAATATTAACCATAGGGTTAATATTTTTAATAGAATTTATATTTGTAACTTGATTTTGAGGTCGAATCACTGTCGGTAAATAGCCTGTTCCACTATATGGAGCAGCAAGAAATCGATGTCGTGTAAGTGGTGATTGTGAACTATAAATATTATTAGGTCTCGAAACATATGTTGAGTTATCTGAAACGGATATATCTGATGTTACTGAAGCCGGTGTTGTAGTTCTCGACCACGATCCATATTCAAAATCAGATGACTGATTATCTTCGCAAATTAAACTTTCCATAGTCGATATAATATCACCTAAATAAACAAAGATATATAATAACTAAACAGTTCTAATGTTTTATTTATAAAGATAAATAAAATAATATATAAAAAGAAAAAAAATTTAGAATTCCCTGCTTTAATTTCGAAGATTTTTTGTACTTAACAATAATAGCATTTATTAATGATTTTCTTTAATGTTTAATGAAATTTATGTAAATGTCAAATAATATTAATAAATTAATTTCTCACATAAATAAAAATTACCTTATAACTACTTCAATATTTTTAATGAATACCATTTTTCATGCAAATTATAGTTTTTATTTTAAATGAAAAATGTTTATGAAAATAATTTAAAATTTTATATGTTTATAATAATTTTCATTGATACGTTAAATTAATTTATTTAAATTTGAAAATTCTGTACAATTTGTTTCTTTGTTTATATTATTTGAAAATTAATTGTACTAAAATACGTTGTGTTGTGTAAATTTAATGAATTTATAAATAATGTAATTTAAATTATATTTTATAATATATGTATGTATATATATATATATATATATATATATATCCATATATTCGTAAATAAATGTAAACTATCCAGAATAATAATTATTTTTGTAGTGACCTTAGTGATGTTTTATTCGTAATTATCAATAATATTTATAGTTTTCTTTTTAATTATACTCAAATATTTTTAATAACACAAATAGTTATCATCTAAGCTAATTTTTGATCGTCAAAAACCTTATATATTTTCTAATTATTGAATTTTCGGTATAGAATCAATCCCTTTTCTGTATTACATATTATTTGTTGAAAATATAAGATACTTACTTTAAATCCAATATTTTACTATAACGAGCGTTAGTCGTTTAAATGGTCTTTTAAAATAATTAAAGGTCCACAGTCTGCTACATTACCATTTTATTTTAATAATTTTTAATTATTTAAATTGCTTTAAACATAAATCAAACTGTATATGCTTATAATTAAGATGTTATAAATGGATTATATTATATTAGTTAAACTAATATTTACTTTTTTCGATTTGTAGAAAAATTGACGAATTTTATATTGAGTCGCAGTTTATTTGTATTATGTAAAACTAAATTAAAACTACATCGAATTTAAGCAAACAATTATTATAACACATAAATAACTAGTTGAAATGACGATTTAAAAATTTAATGTTTAGGGGACCAAAATTATTTACACATCTAGAAAATTTCAGAGTATATATATGCTATTCTTGACCCATTACTATTATTGTTGTAGAAGATGTAATTTTTCCTTAATACAAAATAAAAGAGAAATAGCAATTTTTCACACAATTCAGAAAAATAGAAATTTAATGAGAATGCTATAAAGACAAAATGTCATCTTTTCAAAAAGAAAGGTGACTAGATTAAAAAATATTAGGATGTATGTATTTTTATTCTAAATGGGTAATACAATTCATTGATGTTTACAAATTTCTTATTTTATAATTCAATTACAATAAACTAAAATAGTAAATCAGTATGTGAACTTTATGAAGCAAAGAAGATATTATGTATTTTCAATATTAATGTCTGGTTTTGTATTACAAGTACAAAAGTAAAGATACATACATGATAACCATACCATTAATATTTCTATATATTTCATTTAATCGATATTTTACATTAGAAATTAATTAGTAAAAAGGAAGAAGAAAAGAAATAACAGTAATAGTTCACCAATTCCAATGTTTGAAGATAAAGAAAAGTAAAAATAATTATTTATTGCTAAATTTCTGAGAGACCAAAATAGAATTTATTCAAATAATGTAAAAATATTTCCACTGGATTTTAATACAAAGCAGATTACCACCACTTACGATTAACAAAAATGACGTATTAGTATATATATAAGCATATTTGAGTTGTATACAAACATTTACTAATTTTAAAAAATAATTTGATATTTTTAAAAGATTTATATTTATATTAAGATTTAATTGTTAGAATTCAGATTTTTTATGTATTTAAAAATTTATATTAGTATATTAAACAAGTTTAGAATAATTTAATAATATTAATCTTTGTCTGAGCCACCGATAAGTAAACTTAATTATTTTTTTTCCATTTTGATAATTTTAAATTTCTACTAATAATATCTCGAATCTTATATTCAATTTTTTTTAATTCAAGAAATTCAAAACTTCTATTTGTCACCGTACTAATACTTGATACATGTATAAATTTATATACATATCAATTATAATTAAAAAAAGTAATTGTCACTAGTAAAAATATTTACACAAATTACGTAAAAAAATTGATCAAATAATATTAATAATTTTGTTATATAAATAAAGTTTTTAATTTATAATTTTTATGATTAATTATGCTTTGAAAATAAATTTAATCTAATCAATACATATATTATATAAAATATGTGAGGTAAATAGTTAATTTAATATTCCAGGACTTAAAAATTATGTAAATGTTAAATAAATATTATGAATAAAAGATCGTTTATTTATATATTTATCTTTATTTGTATACATATATGAAATTAAACTAGAATATATCATATTAAGAAAAAACTGAATACTATTTTAAAGTAATAAAATGAAATAGGTGAAATGGCTAATTTATAAATGATTATCGTTAAGAAAAACCTTACCTCTACATCGATGAAGTAAAGACTCCATTTCTACACGTCGTTTTTTTGGAAAGACTTTTAATAAAATATCAACTGGAGATCTATGACAGTGTTGAGTTTGATTTTGATTAACAGAAGGAAAATTCAGTTCAGGACATTGAGATTGACTTCTTTGCATATCATGCAAATTTATATGAGTAGAATTTTGGTACATTGTTGGTGAGCAATAATACGAATTAGATGTAATTCCATAAAATGATGCATAAGGAGTATAATGATTTATTGTTGGTGATGTCTGCAATATATATATCTCGTATTATTATTTCGTAGACATAAAAAGAAAGAAAAATTAAAGAATAAATTAATTTAAATACTTAATAAGTATTTCTGATTTTAAATAACAATCAATTAGAGATGTATTTTATTAATATGATTTTTCAAAGTCAATATTATTAATTATATATTAATTATATTTTACCTTCGTTTTTTTCATAAACTATAGATAGAGTAATTTACATTGTTTTATAAAGTGACTTTTTAGTATTTGCGAATACTTAAAAAATCTGATTATTAGGGAAGCGATTATATATACGAATCTAATCGCAGAATATTTTAAAGTATACATGAAATATTTCAAAAATTTAATAATATCAACTTTTATCTAATCTAGATAAATTCATTTAGCAACCATTAGCTTCATTTAAATTGATAACCTTAAAATGTAATAAAGTCTATTCTTGCATTCAATTATTTTAAGCCTAAATGAATCCATCGTGATTTTGAATTACATGATTTGCTCAAAAAAGTATATCCATTTCTTCTTATAGTCTTAACATACGATTCTCGTAAGTTTGAAAATTACATGATATTGTTCACATATCTTAACCTCTATTGCTGAAAGGTTGTTTAGCTTATATATTGTAAAGTTAACAAATATTAGCACTTATTTATATGATTTGTTTTATGCCGTAAATTAAAAGAGAACGCTATACTTCATATTCATAGTGCTAGATACATGTATTAGGTTTTACAATTAATATTTTCATATAGAAATTGTTATCTTATAGAGCAGCATCAATATAAATTTTATTATAATATACTGATATAAATGTCAATTCTTATTGTTCAATTATTTCCAATATCTAATTTAGAATTGCAAAATATTTGATTTATCTAATTTTAACTTATCAAAATAATCTCTACCTATTCCTTCGGAATATCAATTTACAGATTGGCATTGAACTACAGTTATATTTTGAACAAAATAAAATTCTATAAATGTTTTTATCTTGTTACTTTATATGTTTTATCCTTTTGTATGTTTGTATATTTATATCTATTAAAAGTACTATTAAAATTTTATTGGTTTTTTAATTTTATTTAATAAAACTTATGGTTGTCGCTTGATATTTGTTACCGTTTTAATACAATAAAGCTCTGAACTTCGTTATATTTTTAATATAATCTCTCTTATATTTTGAATTTACCTTTATATATTAGCTATTTATAATATACTTATATAATAGGTGATATAATAGGTATAACTTATATATTAGGTGATCAAATTAATTAGAAGAAAACAGAATACGTATTATTTATATGCTAGTTCTTTTTATTAGGATTACTTTCTTGTTCATATACTATTAAGGGATTTGCTTATAAAACTACAGAAAAAATGCTTAATATACTGAATGTTATTTAATTATATAGAAAATTGTTATGATTATAATAATGATTATGAAAATATGATTAATTCTGAGAATAGTGTATTTATTTACAATTTAAATTGAATATCATTTTGTAAATTATATATACGAATTGTAAATAATATAAAATTCTACTTCTAAATAATATAATATAACATATGTTAATGTTTATTATATTAGTTTAATAAGAATTTGGTAAGAGTAACTGAAGTACTCTAACGAACGGATACTATTATTAAAAATTATCCGATATTGGATTCATAATTAAATTCATTACTTTTAATATTCCATTTTTCAGTATGTATAATACTGTTAAGTAAACTAATTATCAAATAATAAAAATGTTTTTACTGTTTTATGTGTAATTATTATAATTAAATATAAGTGTTGATTTTCCTTTTGTAAATAATTAAAACTTACAAAATTTTCTTATGAATTATATTTATTATGAATTTTAATTAAAAATTATAGAAATATTTTCTTTATAATAATATAATAACTAATATAATAAAATAATAAATTCTATTAATATGTACACTTTGTAAACTTGACTTAATCAAAATACATATCTATTTTTACATATAGGTATCTAATATTTCTTTTTTAAATAAATATAATAATACTTAGGAAATGTGAACATTTTTTATTAATTTAGTCATAATAGACGTTTTTTTTTGTAAAAAAATCAATTATTCCCTGCATTATATATAGCATATTATCAGATTATATTTTACACATTGGTAATTCTAATAATTAAAAGAATATTACATCATTCTTACTATTTTTAATCTTATAATATTCAATTAGATTAACTTTAATTTTGAATTACTTTCAAGTTCTTATCTTTATTAAAAAAAATATTGAAGTAATTATTATTTGATTTATTTAAAACAAATCTTGGCACGATTATATTAATGATATTTTATTACTTTTATAAAACGAGTATGTGTTGTTTATGTTCAAGTTCTTGGTAATTATAAATGGATCAATACAAAAATATTTATAACATACTTATATCCATTAGTTTTTACCGTGCAATGAGAAGTAAAATTTATATGCAACATAATAAGATTGTTTGAAAAATAGTTATATTTATTCTGTATATTATTAGTAATCAATTTTATTTTCAATAAATTATACTTATATATGTCAAAACTTAAATTAGGTATTAATTTTATTTTTAAGTATTACATCTAAAATTAATAACGAAAACAGCTATTATAGTCTATTATTAAATAGCATTATATGATTTCATTTTTTATTAATTTGTCAATACATAATTTAAAATAAATTAAGCAATAAAGTTTTTTTTGTTTCATTTGTTCCATTCATCAAGAAGCCCATTATATATAATTAAATTCAAGTAGTTTTTTAAAATTGTAATATATATGATCATTAATGTTGATTTAGATTGATTTATATTGGTATATATTGATTTTTCATATTTTTAAATATTCAATTATGAATATAATATAAAACAATTATTAAATTATCATTACATATTTAATACGATTCCATAAATTTAATGTTTATGGAATTATTTTTAACATACAAGTAGTATTATTTTGATTTTATATAAATGTTTTACTTCGAACACTAATTCATTCTTGATTAATTTTACGATTTGTAACGTGTTTATTTAATTTTAATCATATTTTATATATTAATTGAATATAAATTAAAATTTAAATAAAAATAATTTAAATTTAAATAAGGTAGAACTAAAAAACTAAAATGAAAAACTTCATTAAATAACAAAAAATAATAATCCTTTCTTTAAATAAAAATTTGAAATCATTACGAATTAATAGATATATTAATAGATTAATACATTCATTTAAATTTAATAGCAAATGCACAACTATTATTTAGCTAAATTTATTGACTTGAATATTATAGACTTTTTTTTTAATTATTTATATTAAAAATTCAATTAGCTAAATTAAATACACTATAAAACTGTAAATTAAATTATATAAATGAAAAGAGTATACAATTAATTTAAAAACGTTGATTAATATGCCATACTTTATTTAATTTTTTGAATGACAGAAAATTATTGATCAAGATTTAAAAGAAGTTGTTATAATAGTAAACATTTTAAATTGTATTTACTAAATTCGAGTATTTCATTGGGAGAAATATGAAGATTATATCTCAAGGAAACAATAAATTTGAATACACCTTTAAAATTAAAAAATTGAAACTTTTGTGAATTTTTTAATTTTTTGTTTTTTATAAGTATTACGTTATATCTATATTTCTTTTAATCTTTATATTTGAATGATTTATTCTATTTTTAAGGTGAACTCATTCCAAATTATAAAATTTATTTAAAATAGGTTAAAATTCAATTTTTCGCAATCACTTTTCCGTAGTGCATTGATAATAATAATATCGAGAGAATTTTTAATTTTACCGATAATTAAAATAAATAGTGAATAGAAAAAATTTATTAGAATTGCAAATTGATCTGATTAAACTTGTAGTATTTTGAATGGCACATTTTCTTTCTCCACGGTTTTGAATTATTGCATCAATCCTTTGTTACATAGCATATCAATATCTTCCTCTCACTTCATTATCAGTTATAAATTTTTCATCTATATTTCACGTTCAATTTCCTCATTTTCAATATCCAAAGTCGATGGCTTGAAAATAGCTGCATTAGCACAACTGGCTTGAGTTCGTTTTTCCATTGTAATCTAAACAATCCAAATATACATACACATAAGCAATAAATAAATATAGGAATCTATTGATTTAAAGATTCACTGTAATATCAAAAACTTAAAAAGCACTAATGAAAATGAATATATATGAATTTTATAAAAAGAATCATAGAAAAATAAAATAATAGAAAAGCTATTAGTTATTATTTGCAAAATAATTAAAAATTTATTCAATATTTATAGATTTTTTATAATAACTGACTTTATTAATACAATATATCGAAAACCTACATATAATAAGAAATTAATTTAAAAATTAGTTTAGTTACAAATATTATAAAATTATTAAAATTTAGTGCAATTAATTAATTGTATAATTTTAGTTTTTAATTTTATTTTTAAATTAATTGACCGATAGAATTATTATTAATAAAAAAAATCAGAATGCCTTCACATTATATACTTAAAATGTATTAAATATAATATGCTTTTTTGTTTAAATTACATACTCTATGTAAACAGATCTTATAAAGTTTAATAATAATCATTATACACTAGAGTATTGTTTACACAAAAATTTAGAAATACATAATATTAAAAAAGTTTACATAAAATGATTTGATTTCGTGTATATTATCTTCCATTGTAACTGTACACATCCCATGCATGTATGCGTGCACACACAAAAAGAGACTGTATTTCTAAATACATATTACATTAAAGAATCCATTGATCAGATTTAATCATCAATATTTCGAAAAGAATTTTTTTAATTTAAAATAAAAATGGTTACAAAACTATAATTAATATCATTAATTACAATAATATTTTGTAAATAAAGACAAAAAAATAAATTTCTATATCAGAGAAAAGTTTTGTTTTGTATTTTAAATTTAAATTTAATACAGAACTTACACTTCCATATTCTATAATTATTTCCAATTGTAAATGAAAATTTGGAATATTAAAAAGTATATAAAAACTACGAAGATATAGCATATATAACTTTATGACAGTCAACCACACTTGTTGGAGTTAATTTTTTAAAGAAAAATTGTTTTTTGATGTTTGTTAAAACAAGAAAGAGAAGTAAAACTATTCAAATAATTCTGTTAGTAATGAAATTAAATTATCAATAATAGTAAAATTTTCTTTTTTAAACGTACAATAAATACAGTTTTGCTTTTTACTTTATTATGATAATGTTTAATTGATTTTTCTGATCTTTCTGAATAGAAAAAGATTTGTTACACAAAAGTTTAATAAAATATAGTCAACATGAATGAAAATATTTTATATAAGTTTATGGACTGTTGTAATTATTCAGTAATTATATGCAGCTTTCCGTTACTAAATATATTTATTAACATGAATCTGATATGCGAAATGGGTGATCTTCTTATCTTTGGATATTTAATATCGTTTCTCCTTTAATTTTTATATACTTCAATAAGTAGAGTATAAATCAGATATCATTCTCTGTCAGAATTTCTTTTATCTTATATATTAGTTGATAATGGTATGCACAGTATTAAATATTATTTTAATCAAATATAATAAATTTAATAGAATATTCACAAGTACCTGAAAAAATTTTTAAGGTGATTTAGATATTTGTTTTTTCATTCGATATAAAAACCTTTTTATAATAAATATATGTTTACAATTAATTAATGTTTGAAATATAATAATAAAATTATAAAAAAATTGATTTATTATTTATAAGTGTGTTAAAAATAGATTTTAAATATGTTAATTTTTTGTACATTAAAGATTTAGCAAGTAGTTGAATATTCAGCATCATAGTTTAAAAAATATCATTCTTATTTATTTCATGTAAATATTCATTTATTATACTTATATATATATATACAGAAACGGTTGATAAATAAAAAATATAAATGTTGTATAATTACTAAACATCATTCGGAATTCTAACTAATAATTGTAAGAAAATATATTTATTGATATAGATGCAAAAGTTAGAAATTTCATCAATGCTTTTTTAACGCTTTTATCTATAACAAAAGTAGAACATGCTTAAATATTGTATCAATATGCGTGTAATAGGAATACTTTAGTTGCAAATTTTCTTAAATAAGTGTACAATACGTAAACAAATTAAGTATAATAAATAAAATAATTACAATAAATAAAATAATCATAATAAATTAAATTATAATAAGTAATTAATGACTATTTCTAATGACTTTAATAACTTTACATTAAAAGGTAATTTATATATTATTGTTATTAGTATTTTGTATTGTTGCTATTGTTATTTTTATTGTCATTATTCTTATTTGTATTATTATTATTCTTATTCTTATTCTATATATGATTCTTCTTTTTCTTGTTGTTGTTGTTGTTGTCGTTCTTCTTCTTCTTCTTCTTCTTCTTCTTCTTATTATTATTATTATTATTATTATTATTATTATTATTATTATTTGCAGATGTAAGAATATTTTACTTTAAAGTGAATAAGAATTACTTTCTAACCAAATCTGTATTTTACGTATTATTATTAAAAAAAACAAAAAAAACTATGAGTGTTTCTGAACTATGAATAACTATAAAAGTAATGATATATCATTCATTAATAGTTTTTAAAAAATTTATCTGAGAAAGTAGAAAAATAAATTTAATCCAATTATCATTTTCATTTTTCCTATTGTGCAATAATTAGCTGTCAAAAAATTGTATTTAATAGAGAGGGAGAGAGTGATGGTAATATATTGTTAATATATTTTATACACAATACTACTTAATATTTTATGATAATATAACTGTACAACATATAAATTGTATCCATAATGTACAAACTCTAATCTAAAAGAATTGAATTCTACATAAACTTAATTAAATTAGATTATAAAATATTTTATCTTTCATTATATTGTCCAGATTTAATTAAATGGGACTTCTATTGCATACTATAAATAATGGACAAAATAATAATAACTTTTCATTGAATGACCAGATTATTGCTAAAATAAATTAAAAATATTTAAATAAATAAATTTAATATTTAAAAATTTGATTTTTTTTATAACTTGCATTTAACCTATAAATATTTAACATTTTAAAAATATTTTATATTTCAAGCGTTAGCTTGCTTATTTTTATACGTTAAATCTATTTTTTAAGTTACATACCAAGAAAGTTGTAGGTATAGTATCTTGTTTTGTAAAGCAAGTTGGTACATTATTATATTCAGATGAAATTTGTGGTGATTTACGTAAGCTTAAATTTTCTGGACCAGGTATTTCTTCTTGGAAAGTATTTGTAAGTGCAATAATAGGTGGGGTACAAGAAGGACTTGATGAGTCGTATTCATTATTGTAGATATCGATGTGTTTCAAAGTAATTTGTTTATGTTTTGAAATTTCTGTCTGTGAATTATTTATAAATGACTTTTTAGTTAGCTCTGTATTTTTTAATGTTTTTGAATTTGATTTTAAACTAGATCTTGAATATGATGATGATGTGGACGGTGATCGTGAATGTAGTGAAACCATACATTTATCATATTTGTCTCTTAAAATTTGTAATTTCCTTTGATCTACTTGTGAATTTGAACCATCATTTTCTATGCAAAATTTTTTTATAGTTTCACTTAATTTTGTTGAATCTAAAACAAAAATTACATATTCAAAATAAAATACTGATATATTTACATATGAGGGTAATTAATAATTATGCATTAATAATAATTATTAATAAACATTCATGTACACTTATGATAAAGAAAATCTTAACGTACTTGTAAAAAAATTACATAAAATTAGTAAAATTTATAAAAAAAATTAATTGTTTACTATGCTAGAATTGAAGATTTGTTTGAATTATAAAGGTATTTCATATATATATGAAATATAAACGATATTTCCAAAATTATTATTAATATTGTTGATATTAATCATTTGAATACCTACAGTTATTGGTGTTAATATACAAAGAATTAAGTGTTCACTTAAAAATTAATTGAGAGAATAAGGTTTCGAGTGAAGAATGAAAATTATTAATTTATTAAGGAATCTAACAAGTTTATGCAATTCTTTAAGTATGATGCCTAATTACTCCAAAACAATTCATTTTCACAATATAATGCATTTTCTGAAAAACTCTGAATGCTTCAAATTATGGATTAAATAAAAATTTAAAACCGAGTTATGAAAACTAGATGTTTAATGAGTAATGCTATAAATTTGTATAATGGGTGGAACAAATTTAATGAATCAAATTATGTCTTTTTCTTTAGAAATTCTAAGTACCTTTATCTTATAGCATATATAAAAATACTGTGGAATCAATAGTGATAACTATTCAAAAAATATTAAAAATACATCTGTGCTTGTAATGATATGAAATATTTTTATATATAAAATTATCTTATACAAGTCAGTATATAGGCCGTATATCTAATATTATAATTATTATAAGGACAACAAAAAAATATAAAAAATAGTGAAAATTCTTAAACATAATTATTTTTATTAAATGCTAGTGTGTCAAAATAACGTCTTGTATTACTCTTAAAAATAAGCAGAAAAGAGAATAATAAATTGATCAAGAAATTTACAATTTATCAATATAAATGATATTTAATGAAAACTTTAATATAGAAATCAGAAAGACTGTTTTAGTAATTAACATTGAATTTCACCAATATCTATTAATATGCTATATAATTATTTGACTCGTATTAGAATTAAAAAACGAAATAAAACGGTTACTAGATAGAAGGGTTGTCTGAACCAATTCTTTTAATATATTAACATTAATAAAAAGAGGTTTAAAAGCTATATATTAAATACTAATTTTAGTTAGAAGAATAATATAAAAAAATTAAATAGTACTTAACCAAAATAGTTTCAAAATTTGTATATGATATAAGAATAAATATAATTTTTCTTCAGATGATAAAATATTGCAAAATATTCATAAAGTTTTAGAAAGTAGAATTTACTTCGAGTTGAAAATTAGACGTTTTTTTAAAAAATATAATTTTTTTTAATTAACTAAAAATTTTTAATTAAAAATAAAATATTTATTCTAAATTTTTCATAATTAAAAGAATCGTTTAATTATGAAATTATTTTTATAAACATTTTTTATTTATTTTGCGTTCGAATATTAACATTATTAATTATATTAATTAAATTGAATCAATTTAAGAAACAATCAGGTTTTGAATACTTAAAATGGCATACGAATAAACGTTAACAAAATAAAAAATTTATATTTTATTAGAAATAAGAATAAATGGACACAAAACAGTAAATGTAATTTTGTCTTAATTTAAAAATGTTGATATTTACTCAAACTACTAAATAGGAGTAAATAATTCTGAGGAGCAGTGATTTTATCACTTGATAATAGATCTATAAAATATAATAAAACAAGAACTTGTAAGTTAATGATAAAAAAAAACCAATATAAAGTTAATCATGATTTATTATTATTTATTATATTTATTATGCTCCGAATAAATTTTATTTTTGATTTAAAATTTATTATAGTTATATCTTATATTTGTTTTTATATGTTTTTATATTTTATTTTAGATTTCAGAAAGAATTGATGTTCATTCATTTTAATTGTAATTTTATTGTATACCACATAATATGGTTTAAATTTATGTAGGATATTAAGTTTTTCTGTTTAATAATGAACCGAACACCTAATTTTATTTAAAGTTATATAAAACATTCCATCTAATCATTAACTCATTTACTGCATTAGATATATTATTTGATATTTTAAGAAAATTGTTTATAAATTAGTTTTGTATTCTCTCAGAATAGCCCCGCTTCTATTGTATAATGACAGCAAGTTTATATAAAAGAATGCTATGATGAAAGTAGCAATACATGCAAATAATATATTTCAAGAAAATCAGCAGTGTGAATATTATAATATTTGATAACTGCTCTTGGTAGTAATAGACTTTCTTTGGTTAATTTACATTTACTTGAATACATACATATATATATATTAAAAAAATTTATAAATTTAAAAATTGAAATATTGTATGGTTACGAATGTTAATCAATTTCATTTTAAAAATACGCCGCAGATAAAAATATTTTTAAATATTTGACAATGCAAAATTTGATATTTGAAAAATCAAATACTGTAATAAATATATTTCAAATAACTATATGAAATATTTTACAATAAACGATAACTTTTCGTTGTGTGGATAAATGTGGTCTTTGAGTAATGTAACAAAGCTGTAATTAATTTAAATTTATGTAGTTTTATGTAGCGTTAAGTGAAACTATTTATAAAATGTATAAACAAAAAAATATATTCCAAAACAATTCAAACAATAATTGATTGATATTTATAATAAATATTTTCTGATAAAAATAAATATATAATTATAAAAAAGAATAATATGTAATATACATAAATGTCCATGAAATTTTTAATTCACTAACTGTACATTTATGAGTGTGGAATCAATTTTATAATTCATCAAAAATTTGTTCACAAAATTACTAATATAAAATATTTATTAATTGCCTTTTTTGGTTATAAAATTAAATAAAATTAAAAAATTATGATGATAAAATATATTATCAAAATCAAGAACATAATATCTTAAAATTATATATTTAAATATTTATAAGATTGTTCGGGATTGCAGCATCTCCCAAGAACTATTAAATGGGAGAAGTATAAGCCTTGTAACTCTTGTGTTTGTAACATTAACTTTGCGAATTCTCTAATATTATACAAGTTATTTTCGAGTGTCTTACAATATTTCCGCATAGCAACGTCGATTGGAAATTCTCGAACCTTTTTAAGCTCAGTCTCTGACGTCATCGAAACTTTCACCATAGCAACACCTGTGCATTGCTGCCAGCTATGTAAGCTGCCGCGCGGATATTTAAAAGAAGCACACGACGAGCCACGCTCTCTCGCAATGAAGCTTTCACAGTGAAGACGTCTAAGTGAAGACACCATGGTACAGATCACGGTCTGTCTTAGCAGGACCGCCATGGAACACTCTCTCACTTCTCAGCAGAGTCCGAAGCCAAGTCTTCGCTTGTAATACCATCAACTTAACGGACAAGCCGTCAATCTCCGCATCATTCAGCGCACACCTTGCAGATCCGAACGAGAACTTCGCTCGTGCCCCATGCTCACGAAGCACACATCTGCAAGTCAATCTCCACGCTATTCAGCGCACACCTTGCAGATCCGATCGAGAACCTTTCGTGCCTCTCCTACCTCCGAACGAAGTGTATACTAACGCCAAGTGTTAACTGCTTCAAAACCCCAAGAGTTTATCGATTAAATTCATCAACAAAATCATTCCTGTATTTGGAAAATAACCAGAATAAACAGCATAACAAACAGATATGTTAAATATTGAATTAATACACTAATAAATAATATTAAAACCTTTTATATTAGAAAATTTGAATCAATAGAAAATAGATAGAAATGATAATATTTGATATAGAATTAAAGATGAAAGATATAATAATAATATTATACTTCAATATTTTATCAGAAGGATTATCTATAAAAGTTATGATCATTTTTTTTAATTTGTAGTTTAAAATTACATTAATTTTTTACTAAAGATTTATGTATATACTTATTTATTAAATAATGTTTTTTTTTAGAAGATAAAACTTAAGATAAGATCTGGTGCATTTTATAATACTGTCGATTATCGATGTCGAATCATAAAATAAAATAGGTAAAATAATTAATTAAACTTGATTGCTAATGTTTATATATAGAAATAATTATATAGAAATATAAAACAATATAAAACTATGAAATGTAGAAATAATTGTAGTCGATTAAAAGTAAAATTTTGAATATTTATAATTATACATGTACAATTTCATTACACAAATGTAGATTCTTAATGAAAGTGTTTTGTTTATAAATTAGTTAATAAATTTAAAAAAATGATTGAAATTTTATTCAAATCGTTTAAATTACTTTTGGAAAATACTTATCAAATTTGGAATGAAACATATTGAGATAAAAATTTGAGATAATCGCCTAATATGTATTAAAAAAATATTTTCTAATATTTACGTATCAATTTCCTGTGTACGTATCGAATCACTTTTGAATAGAGAAACCTTCACACATCTTTCAATTTTATAGTGTTTCTGAATTATCAATCGTTAATAATTCTTTATTATTTGTATTACTGTTTATTATGTTCATTTAATTTGAATCATGTTTTTATGCACTTATCGTAACACTCACCATATAATTTATACTATAATTCATTTTAACATACTTTTAAAAGTCATCAATATCCTAATATGTTCATTAAATGTATAAATTTAAAAATATAAATAGTACAAAAATTTTAATAACAATTTTAATTATTGTTTATAATAATGAGTAATTGTATGTGCTCTAATTATGATAATAGTTTTTGGTTAGATGAATTGTTCCTGTTTGTTTGGATTAGACTATACCGCCGGTTTAATGGTGGGGGGGGGGGACGAGTGAAAGGGTAATGGATCAATTCAGTGTAAACACAATTAGTTTTAGTGACTTTTATCTACGGTTATATTACAGTGGTAGTTGGTGTTACCAATCCACTTAATGAGAATTGTTGAGCTCGTCGTGATTAAACAGTTG